TAATTGGAAATATTATTCATCATTTTTTCAAAGAATCAACTTTTATCGAGATAAAATGCAATTAATAATATCAAATGCAATTAAAAATATATATATAAGTTCATTAACTGTCACGGTCATTGAAAGGTCTCGATAGCTCTCTCCGATAAATTTAAATTCAATACATCTGAATGCACTCTGAATAGATAAAAAATCAATAAATTCACTAAAACATATTTTTATCTATTTTTCTAGTTAATATTTAAATAATATAGGAATTATCTGATATATATATATATGATTTTAATTAAATTAGTATGGTAACAATTAAATTAGTATAGTAACTGAATTAGTTAAAATTATTTTACTCTTTTAATCATTGGAGAAAATTTATCTTTTATAGTGGATCTCTTTGTTTTAAATGCATGGAAGCTATTTCTGCATAAATTACAAGTGTTTGCCAGTTTGATCTGTGGAATCATTTACAATCTGTAATCACGTGATTTCTCTGTAAACAGTGACGATAATGGAATAGATATGTGCATTAAAATGGGTTTGGACTCTGTTTCTCGCGATGGTAATCACTTTGTTGACTTTTCTAAGCTCGCGTCATCTGATTTTCTCAAGTTGATAACAAATGATTATCACAAACGTTATTATTGGAACTATTATGATTTAGATAAACGCAAAAATATCCATCATATTCAAACTTATAAGCTTAGAATTTTTTTAATTAAGAAAAATTGACATTCAAAATAATTAGAATTCTTATGATGAATAATTAATTTTTTTCGGATTCCTTGCTTAGTAAAAATCAATGATATGCTTTAAATTAATTTATTTGTGACAAGACCATAAAAACATTTATGTTATACCTAATTTTAGTTAATGATTATTAGTTATTTATTTCATTTCAATCTTGTGTTACAAAAAATTTGAGCGATTTGTATCTTAATTATAAAATTATAGGAAGCATATTATGTTATGCAAACTGTTGCAATAATTATGGCAAAGGTGTAAGACATCAAAATATTTGTTAATACATGAATAATAATTGATTTAATCTAAACGAAAATATCATACAGCCGTATGTGATCTATAAACATAAACTCGTTTTAATGTTATCAATAAGTTATTCTAATATTTGCAACCGATTTATATTTCTATGACACTAATAATCTGAGATTGGATTTTAT